CCTCCTCCCCCTCCTTCTCCTGCTACTTGTACCTCTCTGCGCAGAAGTAACACTGCACGCGTCTACACTTCCCTGAGCAAGGCAACTCGCCTGGGCACCGCTTCGGGATCTCTCCCGCCCGTTCCCCGTCAGCTCTCATCGGCAACACTTTTGAATGAGCTAGTGGGGATACGCGAAGCGTGAAGAATAACCCAATCGCGCGATGCGCAATCAGAAAGGGGAGTTGTGCACAGTGGAAGAGGAGGCGGTGGCGGATGATGATGATGATGATGATGATGATGCTGATGATGATGATGATGATGATGATGATGATGATGATGATGACGACGACGACGACGACGACGACGACGACGATGATGATGTTGATGATGATGATGATGATGATGATGATGATGATGCTGATGCTGATGCTGATGCTGATGCTGATGCTGATGATGATGATGATGATGATGATGATGATGATGATGATGATGATGATGATGGTGATACAGATGAAGAGGAGAAGGAGAAGGTGGAGGAGGAGGAGGGGTAGGAGACGAAGGATGAGGAAGGAGGAAGAGCAGAAGCAAGAGCAAGGAGGCGGGGAGACGAGAAGGAGGAAGATGGAGGCCAACGACGAGGAGGGCCAATGAGGGGGAGAAGGAGGAGGAAAAAGAGGAGGAGGAGCAGGAGGGTGACAACTTGAGGAAGACGGAGGAGGAGGAGGAGGAGGAAGAGGAGGAGACGAGGAGGAGGAGGAGGAGGAGGAGGAGGAGGAGGAGGAGAGAGGAGGGAGGAGAGGAGAGGAGGAGGAGAGGAGGGAGGAGGAGGAGGAGGAGGAGGAGGGATGAGGAGGAGGAGGAGGAGGGAGGAGGAGGAGGGAGGAGGGAAGGAGGAGGCAGGAGGAGGAGGAGGAGGAGGAGGAGGACTTACAGGACGCACTGCCTTCGCGCAGCGAAACTACTCAATCCTCCACTCAAGCTACCGCTGGAGTATCTGACAACCTCGGATCCTTGGCCTTAGGGTGCAGATCTCTGGCCAACCGATCGATATACTTCCGTCTGTCCTACGCGCATCCCCGACGCAAGGAGGAGGAGTTCTAGGCCGAGGGAGGGAGGACGACGAGGACGATCTTGGAGGCCATCGATTAACGGACGGGGAGGGTCCCTGTTCCGTTCCCCCTCTGGGGCCCTCAAAAATGCTTCTTGCGGCGCTTTTTGAATACTCTTGGGCCAATTGTGGGTGTTCTTGGGGTTGCCTTGGGGGCTTCTTGGAGCCCTCTTGGGCCATGTTGGGGCCATCTTGAAGCGTCAAACTCGCATCGGAAACGAAAAGGAACATGCAAGCATTATACATGTTTTGGCAGTGTGTTGACGGATATTGGCATCTCGTGGGGGTCATGAGAGGGCTCTGAGAACACTTGGAGCCGTCTTGCGGTCTTTTTGGGGCCTCTTGGCAGCATGCCGGAAGCTACCTCGAACCATCTTCGGCTACCTTGAGCCATTTTTGAGGCCATCTTGGAGCATCGGTCGCCCACTTGGAGCCATCTTGGGCTACCTTGGACGCTCGAGCCCCTCGCGACACCCGAGAAAACATCAGTGAGGGGAGGGGGAGGGGGCCCTTCCCCGAAGGGAAGATTGGGTCTTGGAAGAGGAACTGAAGAACTCGTTAGACCATCTACGCCATGAGGGCTGGCGGGATGTTCTGGGCCAGGTTCACAAGGGCATGCGCCGGCGGACCGAGAAGAACAGCGCATCAAGGCGGGACGGGTGGGATGGGGTAGAGTGTCGGATGTGGCGCGAACGCATTAGTTTTTCCCTCCTCCTTCTCCTCCTGAGGAGGAGGAGGAGGAGGAGGAGGAGGAGGAGGAGGAAGAGGAGGAGGAGGAAGAGGAGGAGGAGGAGGAGGAGGAGGACGGGGGGAAGGACCTTCCCCCCCCCTCCCTCTCCTCGTTCTCCAGCCTCTCCTCCCCCGGCCTCGCTCCTCTGCCGCTCCTGCTCCTCCCGGCCCCTCCCCCTGCTTGGCCCTCACGCCTCCTCCCCCCTCCTCCTCCCCCTTGCTTCGTGCTTCCCCCTCCTGCTCCTCCCCGCCCTTTTCGTTGCTTCGTCCTCTCCCTTCCCCTTGCTTCGTCCTCTTGCGGCGCCGTGGGATCTTTGGCGGCCTCCTCTGGGGACTGGTCCGTCGTGGGCCGTCGCGGGCCACCTCTTCGGCCTCGGAGCACGCGCGGCTGCCCTGCCCCTGACAGAGGGCTCGAGCCAGGCGCTGCTCCGGCGATCCCGTGGACCATTCCCGTTCCGACCTCGTGCTGCAGCAGCGGCGGAATTCAGCCGGAGCTGAGGGAGACCGACAGCGAAGCGGGCACGGACAAGAGCGGCCGGCTGCGCGCCCTGCCCTCTGTGCCCCCCGTCCGCGGGGCGGCGGCGGCCCCAGGGCCGTGGCCGCCCCGCGCGCGTGCGCGCGCGCGACGGCCCAGGACGTCTTCACGCTCGGGCGGCTGCTCGAGCTGGCGGGGACGAACCTGGACCGCGAGCTCTCGGGGGCGACGACGCCGGGGGGGGGGGTCTCAACGGCAACATCAGGCGTGGGAGGGCCACGCTCGGGCGGGCGAAGTTTCGAGCTTCGAAATGTTCGGGCGTCTTCGGCGGCCCTCCAGCCCCAGGATGCCCTGCAGCAGCGGCGCCTCGCCGAGAGCGTTCCCGGGGGTGCCCGATCGTCCCGCACTGCCGCCAGAGGCCCGAGTCATGGCTCGAAAATCACCAGGGGACCGGCTGGAGGGGGGGGGGGACTTGGCGACACATCGGCGATACAGTCGGGGCGCTGAAGGAGGAAGCCTTTTCGTTGGGGAGGGGCTCGGTGTTCCTTGAAGGTTTCAGAGTCCGCCTCGGGCTTTCCTGAGGTTTTCCACGGGAAATTGAGGTTGAGCTTGTGGGAAAAAGGGGCCTCGTTCCTTATTTGGGGTTCCTTGGGTCAACGCCCCGACTGTAGGCTTCTGATGGCGAGCTTGCACGCTCCTGGGCGGGGTGGGCTGTCGGGGCCCCCCCGTCGGCGATGGTCGGGGGTCGATGAGCCCACCCCGGAGCCACCATGGCTCCGGTGCGGGTTCCGGGGAGGGGGCTTCGAAGCGCAGCAGGATCGGGGGTGGACAGACCCCTGACACGTCGATTAAGGAATTGGCCGTTTTCGGTTCGCGAGAGGGCGTCGCGGCCGTCATTTTTGCGGGTCCAGGTCCGTCGGTTTCGGTCCCAGGCCGTTTTCACTAAGGGGAGGTCTACTGAAGGGAGGTTGGTCCAGCGCCGACAGGAAGGCTTCGAGCTCATCCCCCAAAACAGGGTCCAGGGGCGAACATCGCTTGCTCATTTCCCATGTTCGTTGCAACGGCTTTCGCGCTGTCGCCCGCTCCGCTGCCCGACGCGCGGAGACACGGCGCGAGATGCGCCAAGCAGGGCTCCAAGACACCTTCACGCGGGCGCCACGACGGCCCACGAGGCGCCCAGACCTGCCCCAGAGCGCTCCGGGGGGCTCCCCGACTGAGCGCAGACAGGCCGCAAGGGTGGCCACGGAGGCCCACGGGGCCCCCAAGCCTGCCCCAGCACGCGCAGCATGGCTCCGAAGCGGCCCACGGCGCATCCAAGACGGCCCAGGAGGGCTCCAAGCCGTGTCCCGACACGGCCCCGATCGGCAAACACGTCGTTTCCCCATCGGTCTTGCGTTGCCTTTCGCGTGGTCGCACGCTCCGCTTTCCGACGCTCGGAGACGGCGCGCGAGGCGCGCGCGGGGGGCCAGGCGCGCCCCGAGGCGGCGCCAAAGCAGCCCAAGAGGCGCTCGAGATGGCCCAAGAGCGCTGCAGGCGGCTCTCCACATGAGCACAGGCACGCCAAGACGGCGGTGAAGAAGGCCTCCAGGGTAGCGAAGCGGCCCCAGAGCGCCCGCCAGCGGCCCACAGACTCCTCCACGAGGGCTCCCACAGGGGCGTGGTTTCAGGTTCCCGGAGCAGCTTCCAGGAACCTGAATGCGCGCCCGTCATTGGATCAGGAAGTTCTCCAGCATTTTCTTGCGTTGCTCTGGAGAGGCCCCTGCGAACATGTCTGTCTGTCTGTCTGTCTGTCTGTCTGTCTGTATGTATGTATGTATGTGTGTATGTATGTAAGTATACATACATACATACATATAAAGGGGGCCCCAGGTCCGGGGGCCGGGGGCCGGGACCCCGACCGCAAATGTGGGGCCCAGCGCGCCGGGAGCCTTGCCGGAGCGCGGGACCCCGACCGCAAATGTGGGGCCCAGCGCGCCGGGAGCCTTGCCGGAGCGCGGGGAGCCATCCAAGATCGCCCGAAGATGGCTTCGGAACGTTCGAAAGAGCGTGTTCTACCGCTGCTGGCGGAAAACCGGGGTGGGTCACTACCGGTTCGAACCCCTCCCCCCCCCCCTCCGGAAAACCGGGGGGGGTCACTGCCGGTTCGAACCCCTCCCCCCCCCCCCCAGCTCATCATGAAAAGGGGGGGGGGTCACTACCGGTTCGAACCCCTCCCCCCCTCCCCCCCCTCGAAAACCGGGGGGGGTCACCGGTTCGAACCCCCCCCCCCCCCCTCGAAAACCGAGTGGGGGTGCGGACAGTGGTGGGGACGGTGTTGGTGGGGACAGTGGTGAGGGGATAGCGGGACAGTGGTGGGGACAGTGGGACAGTGGGACAGTGGTGGGGACGGTGGGGACAGTGGTGGGGACAATGGTGGGAACAGGGGGGGACAGTGGACAGTGGTGGTGACGGTGGTGGTGGGGACAGTGGTGTGGGGACAATGGGAATGAGGTGGAACAGTGGGACAGTGGAGGGTACAATGGTGGTGGGGACAGTGGTGAAGGCGGTGGCGAGGACGGCGGTGGGACAATGGGACAAAGGTACAGTGGGGACAGTGGTGGGGACAGTGGGGACAGTGGTGGGAACAGTGGGACAGCTCAGTGGGACAGCAGAGGAGTCAGTGGGACAGTGGGGACAGTGGGGATAGTCGGGCAGTGGTTGGGGCCGTGGAGACAGTGGGGAGAGTGGAATCGTGGTGGGAACAGCTCTGGGGACAGCGGGGACAGTGCGACAGTGGTTGGGGCACTGGTGGGGACAGTAGGGGCGGTGGTGGAACCAGTGGGGACAGTGGTGGTGAGGACAGTGGTGCTGGGAACACAAGTGGGGGATGTGATGCGGACGGTGGTGGGGACCGGGAGTCGTTTGCTGGCGGTGAGTAGGTGGGTGGGTGGGGGGGGGGGTCGAACCGGTAGTGACCCCCTCCGGGTTTTCGGATCCGAAGGGTAGGGGGGGGGAGGGGTTCGAACCGGTAGTGACCCCCCCCGGTTTTCCGGATCCGGAGGGGGGGGGGAGGGGTTCGAACCCGTAGTGACCCCCCCCGGTTTTCGAGCGGGAGGGGGGGGGGGGGGGGAGGGGTCAGGGGATGGGGGGGGGTTTTGCCGGGGAGAGGGGGGGGGGGGAGGGGTTCCAGCAAGGGGGGGGGATTTTCGGAGGGGGGGGGGGGTCCACCCGGGCTCCAGAGGAAAAGGTTGGCAATTTTCCACAGTAAAGCGGCGGTGGATCACGCTCTCTCGAACGTTCGAAAACGCGCTCCGATGGCCCCGGATGCCTTTCAAGACGACTCCCATGACGCCACGAAGGCCCCCGAAGGCCCCGAAGACGCCCCAAGAGGCACCCCGAGAGAGCCCCAATAAGCAAACATCGGCGATTTCCTACAGGAAACTTATGTTTTTGGCGTGTTCGCCTTTTGGGCTTCCACTGCGTCCAAGATGGCCCAAGAGGCACCCAAGCCGGTCGAGGATGCCCCCAAGAGGGCCCCAAGACGGCTCACGAGGGGGCCAAGATTGCCCACGAAACGCCCAAACGGCCCAAGAACGCCCCAAGGCGGCGCCCAAGACGGGGACGAGGCACCGGAATTGTTGACGCTTCGCGAATCCCCACCAGATTCCCGAGGACGCCGCTCTCAGCCACACACGGCGCCCGCCACTGAGCCCCCCAGCCCCTTGGCAGCATCGCAGCACAGGCCGAGGAAACGAGCCACAGATTACATCCATCCCACCAGCGCGCCCTGACGACCTCATGCGCGGTCTCCCCATGTACCTGAACTCCATCAGCGAAGCAGACACCAACAAGGAAGAGCCAGCACAAGACAAGATCAACCGACTGCAGACGACGCTGGGAGGCGCCTTCAACGGGATTTGGCCCGCCTTGGTCCGTAAGTCAGTCAGCAAGCACGGGGGCCCATGGGTCAGCATCAAGTCCGACCCCAAGAAGAACTCCGTGCAGCTTTGCGAAGACTTTCTTCAGACAAAGCGGGCTTCGACGCCTACAAAATGGACGACGAACACCAGCTCCGCGTAGACTGGCCAATCATTACGGACAGACATCGCAAGCAGCTACAGCGCAACACCAGGACGCACCACGACGGCCCCAAGGGTGGCGTACGCCCATACCCATGGGCAGACGGCAGCAAGACGGCGCCTTGTCCCCCCTCAGCGCCCTCCGACGACAGGGAACCCGCGCAATTGGCTGCCTCAAGCGAGCCCGCCAGGGAGGACCGACGGCACCCATGGAGCAAACCAAAGGAGGCCGCCTGCTCCCCTCTGGTGTACACCGACTACAGGGTCGCCGAACAGACAACCCCACCCAGCGCCGCAGCCCGATGGGAGACATGGCAGGCATGGGAAGGGTGGGACCACCGCCAGGACACGTGGTCCGGCTCCGACTGGAGGACCAGGGAGAAACGTCCGGCCCCCAGAGGAGACGCTCAGTATGCTGACAAACGACAGCGCGGATGGGACTCCGCCCGCAAATGGGCCTGACCGGTCCACCCTGTCGGAGCGCTGCCCCACTGCCTCTCCCCAGGCCCAGGAAGGCAGCACCTCCGTGGGAGACAGATGGAGAGGGTTCCCCGTTTGTCCTGCAGCTCATCTGCGGCTCCAGGCCTTTCCCCCCTAGTCATGTAAATACTGCGAGTCGCCACTCAACCCGTATCAGAGCGCCGCGCATGCTTTCTAGACGACAACGACCTCGGACAGCTGGGGGCTGCCTCCACCTCCTTATACAAGGTTGTCTCCATTGCGCTGACCCTGTGGGCCATTTGGTCCCCCGACGTGCCTTGTGGGGCCCAGTGGGTCGGCAGTCCGATGGCCCTCTACCGCCCCTTTGCCGGCCACAGGAGCAGAGGTCGCGAGGATACAGACGCTGCGGGGACTGTCCCACAGGCCCCTCCGCGGATAGCCCCTTATACAGCAGGGGCTGGTATCGCCGCAGTGGCAGGCCCTGGCCTTAATACGTTCGTGCCGCCTCTTGGGAACGAGGTGCACCACTCCCACTGCGTCTAGACTCCCACGGTTCAGCGTGGTCTCTAGCCCGTGTGGTTACGGCCGCCATATTTTCGTCGCACGGTTCACTTGGGCCCTTCTCTGGCATGGGCCCGAGGTGCCCGCCGCGAACCCATCTGGGACGGCTAGGGCTGCAGGACAGAGGCACCCCCCTCTCGCTCCATT